GCCCGCCAGCTATAGTAGCGAAATTTGCTAGAATGTACAAAAGTTTTGTGCTGTTGCAGCCAAAACAATGTGATGTCTCATTTTATTGTGTGATGTCCCACGCCAGTGTGATGTCTGAGAGGACATACTCTCCAACACTATATCTATGATTGCCCTGTTATCAGTGACGTCAAACCAAATGGTTTGAGGTACTTTGAGCTCTGTAATTACTTCATACACTCAGGAATATTGGAAGATATTCCTGTGCTGTACCCAGATTTTGCTAGTGGATCTAATAGATCAGCCTTACATTTTTTGTTCCCTCCTGATTCCATGTATGACTGGCCATCCTGTGAGGTGGGGATGTTGGATGAGCTTGTAGCTGGTTTTTGATCTACACTGTGTGGTCCTTCATACAGAATAGGGAAGCAGCACATTGCTGTGTATACCTAAGCTTGTTAAAAAAAATACATTGTTTGAGAGGAGTCTTGTAGAAACTGGTAAGAGAGTAATAATATAATGTTACATGATTCAGTGTTTACCTCTTGTTAAAATCGTCAAGTTGTTGTTTAGTCGGAGTTGATTTGTTTTTTGTATTGAGCCTGGTATTTTCTCCCTTGATTCCATGTATGACTAACCATCCTGTGAGATGGGAGTACAGTATTAGATGAACTTATAGCTAGTTTTTTTATCGACACTGTATAATTTTTCATATAGAATAGGGTAGCATCACATTGCTGTGTATACCTAAGCTTCTTAATAAAACAAATCAGTAATATAGGTTTTAAATTATAGTTTGTATTATTAACAGTATTATCCTTATTAAATCATGTTAACCTTGGATCATTAAGATCTCTTGTTGATATGTAATAGTCATATTTCTTTTGTACCATTAATTAAATTGTTCATTATGTCAATTTTTCCACTTCATTGGATATACAGTACAAATGATAGTTTAAACAGCCCAGAAATATTTGTTGCATTATATTTTTTTATTTAAATAACTGGATCAATATTTTTACAGCTGACAGGATTTGTTTTACTCACAGGTGCATTATCTGTTAAAAAATTATCTGTTTAAAAAATTATTGTTACACACAATGGTGCTACATAGCCTACCTGGCTTGATGCCTTCTTTTGATAATTACTTACTTATTGTTACACAGCCAAATTGTGTAACAGGAAGAGGTCTTGGACACAAATTTATTCCATGCTAAATGTAGAGGAATCAGCTGAGCATTCCTCAAATAAAATAAGCTGCCTCAGCCTATAAGGTAAATAAAATAAAATAAGCATTCCTCAAATATGTAGCTGCCTCATCTCACTACCTTACTGCTACATATAGCCTTCCCGGCTTGGTGCTTTCTTTTGATAATTACTTATTGCTACAAACAGCCAAATTGTGTAACAGGAAGAGGTCTTTCACCCCTACTTCCCACCCTCTCTTTTTTAATAGTCCATATAGTCATAATTATAGGTTTAAGTATGCAATGCAAAAGTTTTTGAAGTTTTTACCCTAACCTAACATCATTTGTGCAGCATATTTTTCTTTTATGTCTCACCCAGTTTAATTTCAAAATAAAACCAAACAAAATAAATTAAAAATGGGTATGTATAGCTAAGGTACACCCCCTAGCTATACTTATTGCTAGGTGAACAGGGGCATTTGGTGGTAGTAAATGCTCCCACCAGCCCAGGTTCATCACCTTCTCTCATATTTCATGTTCACCAGTGTTTATTTACTTAATAACTACTGGTATAATATCTTGCTATTATAAAACTAATTCTAATATCACAAAAGACATATTTACTACAAGTTTCAAGCAGAGAATGCATATATAGTAAACACGAAGGACTACTCCTTGATGAAACTCGCCAGCTTAAGTGTTTGTTTATATTTAAATCGATCTTCCGTGTTGTGTAGTAGAGAAAAATTGAGTTATATCCAGTTTACATAAAGCTACGAGTGGTCAAGACCGTTCTTAGTGCGAGGCGGTGTACTTAGGAAGATTTTTATATGTAAATGCCTACCTGAATACCGATGTAGCCACTACGAAGATGCTAAGAAGAAAAATATTCGTAAGTACGTACGAATTAACTGCTTCGTGAATCTGGCCCCAGGTCTTAACTGGTTGAGAGAGGTACAGCTTTTGACATGATTGGGGAGGTTATTCCACATTCTGGGTCCCTTGATTTGTAGAGCATTTCTAGTTTGGTTAAGTCGCACTCTTGGAATATCAAATTGGTATTTGTTTGTGGTGTGGTGCCCATGGGTTCTGACACACATGTTGGTGTTCGGGCTGTGAGAGTTTAAACTGGTGAACCTCAAGGACCATAATGGAGAGGCCATGGTACATATAATTAGATTATTAACTATACATTCAGCTCCTGCAGGACCCGTGCCTCCGGTGACGTAATATTAGTTCGTAAAACAGAAAACAGACACTTCGTAAAAATGTTTTTTGTTCACATAAAGAGGTGAGGGTCTGCCCCAACGTGTTCTGTGGTTGCATTGTTTCTCAAACTGAGATAATTGGATTTTCCTGTTGTAATGGATGACACAAAGTACATGAACTTGTAGCGAACTTGTAACCAGGCTGTGACTCATACGTCAGGCTGCGAGCAGCCGCGTCTAACAGCCTGGTTGATCAGTCCAGCAACCAGGAGGCCTGGTCAACGACAGGGCCGCGGGGACGCTGAGCCCCGGAAGCACCTCAAGGTAACCTCAAGGTAAGGAGTTAATCTTATACTCGCTCCATTATCTCATTATCTTAATATGATAACTAATTAGCACTAATTACAGAAGCTACAGCCCTTTCCCCAATAACAGGTAATACTCGTCTCACCTTGTTGGAGGAAGCTGAGGTGTAATCACCATATAAGCAACGATTTGATGAATAGAAAACAGTACAATCTCCAGTCAAGAATGTAGTACTCGGCGTGGGCAGTTCTAATCGACCCAAGACGCTACAGCTTCGACACAGAGAAGACAGCAGACTACGACCGCATCCAGCTACAACGTTCTCGCTCCCCGAGTTCAGACACTCGCAATTCCCAATCGAGCCGCCACGCTCTCCCACATAGAGCTCCACGACTCCGGCCTCACTCAGCTCTCTGCTCTGCTCCAGGCTTCGTCTCAACGTCTACGACACTGCTGTATCCAGGACTACTAAATAAATACTCACTAAACACTGTGTATCTAATCAACCCAACAAACGTAATATAATCGTACGTTACAAACTGTTTTCATACAAACTCAATTCAAACTATAACAAACTTTCATACAAACTATAACAAACTCTGTCTTCAGACACACACGCCCCTTTATTTAAGTCCCTTAACATGCTAAACATACACTCACTCCACACATTCTCATGTGCTATCTACATGTACAAAACCTTGTTCCTAAATGCTAATCTTGATCTGAAACTTTTCCTTAATAGGTGTTATAGAACCCATGAGCACCGCACCAGAAATAAATATATCTTTGATATCCGTCTTAAGTAATCTCACTAACCCAATGCACCTGTTTGTGAATAAACTAAATAAACTATTATTATTATTATTATTCAAATATTACGATATATTACAATTATTAAAATATTAAATAATAAGGCTTTTCGTATAGATTCTGGACCAAGGCACAGCTGGTAAATTGGGTAGTTAAGTCAAATAACAGTGATTGATTGATACTTAAAATAACCATGCTACACAGATAAGATGTAGTTACCAAATATGGCGGTAAGGCGAGACAGATTGCGCCATAGATAAATAAGTAAGAACTAGCCAGCGTTGAGTTGGCGCCCAGTCGCTGACAAGCGATCACCAAATTACTATCACCAGCTTCGTATCTAACGCTACTAACGGTGAGTATATGTTATTTTACATGCATTTGTGTACGTTCTTGTAGATTATAATGTTACAGAGTGACAGAGCCCCGCGCACGGGGTGTGGGGGGCTCAGACACGCCAGATCCCCCACCACCGGGAACAGGATCGAGGCCCCCAGGCGCACATCTTTCGTCAAGACCACGACGAGGTTGCGATCACCAGGGGCAACCGCCCACGGAGGGAAGCCACCAGCAGGAGGCAGCACAGAGCCACCCATAGCATCGTCAACCACATGTCATACTCGTCAGCCCATGCCTGTGGAGGCGACGCATCCCTATCCATACGAGAACGCTTAGGGACAGGCCGTTGATCGTCGGAGCTGTCACTCCCCTGCAGGGAGCGCCCAAAAAGAGCCATCGGCAGGCTGCCCCATATCCGGGGGAGCACGACCCCTCAGAATTTCAACCTCGACGACACGGGGGACGAGACCACCACCTACAGAGGAAACCGGAACTGGAGAAATAACAGGTGCAGCTGGCAGGAGGGAAGAGACCAGCACAGGTGAGGAAGCCCACGGGGATGCCGAATCTGGCAGAGGAGAAGAGGCGTGTATAGGCAAGGAATCCATCGGAAGTGACGAGGAAGACGGCAGAGGGAGGGGGGGGGACCGCACACACCACCACCCCGTCACATACACCACTATCCGTACATACCAGCCCACCAGCCGAGGAACCCGGGACCACCACCGGGACAGCAGACGGGAAGGAAACCTCCCCACCCACTCCATCACAAGGCAACAGGTCCTGCTCCACCAACGGGGGGAAATCCTCTTCTCTAAATAAGTTAACAGGAGCAGCCGCCACCCCAGTACAAGCGGCCGCCTGGTGCCCTTCAAGGTCACAACGAAAACATGTTTGTGGCGGCCCGGCATAGAAGGGCCGCATAGTGTAGCCCAGCAAGGTAACCGTGGAGGGAACAGGTGACTTGAGCCGCAAGGCTCAAGTCACCTGTTCGGGTCCAGGTACCACACGAGACACCTCGCCACAGTCTGGAAGAGATAGAGTTCAAACGTAGCGATACCACGGCACCAACCTGGCCAAAGAATCTCCAAAACAGGGCCTCCGAGAATTCAAAAGGCACACCATGCAGCGCCACATACGTCACAGAGCAGCAGCGGTTAGATACAGTGACAGTCCCACCGTCCCCATGGAGTATAAACGAACGTCCCTCGTACCGGTTCACGAAGTCCCGATACACCGCTGCAGAGTGAAACTTCACAAGTGCTCGATGGGTAGTCAACAGTTGGAGGTCATACTCATCGGCCACCTAACACGCAGCATATCCAACAGAACTACATCAAAAGCAAAGTAAGACACGTCCAGAAAACTCCAGACCCACGATCTCAGAGCGGCGAACAGGGGAAAGGTGGGGTCCCCATGGCGCCAACACAGCAAACAACGCCTGCCACACTCAGCGCCAAGCAACGACTGGGGAGCTCAAGCCACGACGAACCACCCTCTCCAGTGGCGGGCGAGTCTAGTCAAAAGCATCAGATTGTTGATGTTATCAGACTCGGTAACACTCTTGAGTCTGGCTAGTAATTGGTTTGGTAACTGCATGAACTGCCTATAGCCTTTCGCTTAAAGGAGATCTGATAACCTTACTGAGCTTCATATGGCATACCATGCAGAAGCCTATTCTTGACTAAACAATGGCTATAACCCATCCGTTTTCCGTCAACTTTATTTCTGTTTTGCTAAAGGCCATTTATTTGCGAGGTGTTTGAACTGTTGAGTAACTGTTTTGGTCGTAATCCTGTTGCTGAAACAGGTTCCATAACTGGGAATTTTGGAAGAAACGATCATTGAAATTGTCCTGCCAAGGTCTTGCAAATGAAGCCTTTTCTATTAGTCACATGTTGCGTCTTTTATTTGGAGCGTTGTTGATAAGGATGATACTCGACTATGGGGAGGAACACTACCTTAGGGTACGCCACCATGGGGAACACTACCTTAGGGTATCCCACTTCTGTGGCGTGTTCGTGGCAAGTAATGGTTACTGATGAATTTCTCAAAAGGTTGACAACCTAAATATTTGTTAAGATGATACAGAAAACCTTTCATCAGCCTTAAGGGGCTACAGCTCACACACCAGACTTTTATGTTATTCTTCTCCTGTAAATTGCTCCACCTACGTCTTCATCCATATGAACAGCTCTTCCAATATTTTAATAATTGTAATATTTATTATATTTATTTGCATGGAACGTTTATGTATTATAATTTGTGTCTATTATCCATTACCATAATGAAAAGTCTACATTACCTCAGGTTGAGAAGTCATGCATCTACAGGACAAGTTAGGGCAGACTCTCACCTCTTTATGTGACCAAAAAAATGTTTTACGAAGTGTCTATTTACTGTTTTACGAACTAATATTACGTTACCGGAGGCACGGCTCCTGCTGGAGCTGAATGTATAGTTAATAATCTAATTATATGTACCATGGCCTCACCATTATGGTCCTTGAGGTTCACCAGTTTAAACTCTCACAGCCCGAACACCAACATGTGTGACAAGGAGATCCCAGCCCTGGTTGTAGACAATGGCTCCGGGCTAAGTAAGGCAGGGTTTGCGGGAGACGATGCACCCAGAGCTGTGTTCCCTTCTATCGTCGGGAGACCTCGTCACCAGGTGAGAAACATCCTTTTATGATTATTGGACATATTGTTTGATTGCAATAATATACATCAACGATACGATCAATGATATAGTATAATATGTTACTGATCTCAATACTAATAAGTCGCATGACTAGAAGTTTATGCACTCCAGAGTGGGATGGTGGGCACGGGTCGGAAGGACTCGTACGTCGGTGATGAGGCATTACGCAAGTGGGATATCCTGAAGCTTAAATATCCCATTGAGCACGGCATTGTTACCAACTGGGACGACATGGAGAAGATCTGGCATCACACATTCTACAATGAACTGCGCGTAGCCCCAGATAAACGCCCAATTTTATTGACCGAGGTTCCCTTCAACCCAAAGGCCAACCGCGAGAAGATGTCCCAGATTATTTTTGAAACTTTTAACTCTCCAGCTATGTACGTTTCTCTCCAAGCTGTTCTCTCCCTGTTCGCCTCTGGTCGGAACAATGGTATTGTACTGGACTCTGGTGATGGCGTGTCACACACTGTCCCCATCTATGAAGGACACGCTCTGTCTCATGCTATTTTGCGTCAGTATCATTTGGCTGGTCGAGACCTGACAGACTACCTCATGACCATCCTTACCGAGCGTGGCTACACCTTCACAACCACCGCAGAGAGAGAAATTGTTCGTGACATCAAAGAGAAGCTTTGCTATGTCGCCCTCGACTTCGAGAAAGAGATGGCTACCTCAACTCAGTCTTCATCTCTCGAGAAGTCTTACGAACTTCCCGACGGTCAGGTCATTACCATCGGCAACGAGAGGTTCCGCTGCCCTGAGGCTATGTTCCAGCCTTCCTTCCTTGGCATGGAAACTGCTGGCATCCATGAGATCATGTATAATTCCATCATGAAGTGTGATGTCGACCTCCGTAGGAAGCTGTACTGCAACTCAGTGCTGTCTGGTGGCACTACCATGTTTCCAGGCACTGCTGAGAGATTGCAAAAGGAAATTACTGCCCTGGCACCATCCACCATGAAGATTAAGATAAGTGTGCCTCTAGAGCGTAAGCATTCAGTATGGGTCGGCGGTTCCATGCTAGCTTCCCACTCAACCTTCCAGCAGATGTGGATCAGCAAGCAAGAATATGATGAATCTGGACCATCCATTGTTCACAGGAAGTGTTCCTAAGCTGCTCTGACAAAAAAAAAAAAACAGAACAGAGTATCAATGAAAATACACATATATATTTGCTTTGCATGTAACTGTAAGGACGGGATTGAATAAAAACCTTTATATACTAACATTAATATTATTTATTCTGTGACGATTAAAACTGCTTAAGTATAAGACAACCACGAGCTGACTTTAAAGTGACATGTGTAGCAGTACGTACTAACTACATTTAAAATTGATTATACATAATACCTGAGTAAATATATGCAGGATAATGAAGCGGATCTTATCAATAAATGTGTAATAGGGTGCGAACCCTGAGACTCAAGTCACAGGAGTTATGTTCCATACAGTCAACTCCTCAACAATTGCAATAAACGAATGCTGCTGCCTGTAACTTCAACATTAGTCTTGCATCTCAGCCCGCCAGCACTGGTTAGGCAATGAACCAGTTTAGCTAGTTTGAATTGCTATTTAAGGACCCTATATATATCCTGTGAGTAGTGACAGACCCACATACCCATCCTACGGCCAGTGACAGACTCTCATACCCATCCTACGGGCAGTGACAGACCCACATACCCATCCTACGGGCAGTGACAGACCCATATACCCATCTAAGGCCAATGACAGACCCCCCATACCCATCCTAAGGCTATGACAGTCCCCCATACCCATCTAAGGCCAATGACAGACCCCCCATACCCATCCTGTGGGCAATGACAGACCCTCATACTCATCCTGTGGGCCATGACAGACCCTCATACCCATCCTGTGGGCCATGACAGACCCTCATACCCATCCTGTGGGCCATGACAGACCCTCATACCCATCTTGTGGGCCATGACAGACTCCATATCCATCCTGTGGGCCATGACAGACCCACATACCCATCCTGTGGCCAATGACAGACCCTCATACTCATCCTGTGGGCCATGACAGACCCTCATACCCATCCTGTGGGCCATGACATACCCTCATACCCAACCTGTGGGCCATGACAGACTCCATACCCATCCTGTGGGCCATGACAGACTCCATACCCATCCTGTGGGCCATGACAGACTCCATACCCATCCTGTGGGCCATGACAGACCCCCATATCCATCCTGTGGGCCATGACAGACTCCATGCGCATCAGGCCGCTGCTTTAACGAGCGGACCTGAGGACGGGTTGGTAAATAAAGGCTGGCCGCTGGGTTTACGAGCACACGGCTTTGTTTATGAGGGCGGGACACTTGCTTGAGAGAGACACTTGCTTCTACCTCCTCTGATCTTACAACCAGCTTCTGTATGTTGCTGTCTTTAAGCTAGGAGAAGCAAACATCAGAAATAATGAACTTATGTTTCACCTGAATTTACGTGTGTACCTCCCCAAAAAAATCTCCCCAGTGGCCTCGGGAGGACAGGAAGGCGGCGGGTTGTAATGGGCCCCCCTATTTGTTCTGATTTTATCCAGCAGTATTTTGAGCTGCAGCAATGTTTCGATATTTACGACTTTGGCGGGTAGGCGGTTCCATGGGTTTATAACCCTACGGGCGAATAAGCATCTCCTATTTTCCTAAAGCCGTTGGTACTTGTATGTGTCACATTAAACCTTTTAAAGAAGTGGCCTGGATCAATATCCTCCAAATTGTCGTGGATGGGTTACAGTATATTTAGTTCTGTGGCTCTCAACTGTTCTTGGTATGAAAGTCGACTTTGTCCCCGGATGATTTTTGTCGCCCGGTGATGGACCTTCTCCACAGCAAATATGTCCTGAAGCTGAGGAGTCCCTCCTTGGATACAGTAGTCCAAATATAAGCAAACATAACAGGTATGCTCAGGTGTACACGAGTAATGACTCCTGTTGGTAAGCTTAGAGCTTTATCTTTCCCCATTGCTCATCTCGAGCCAAACCCAAGCATTTTCCCCTGGAACACGAATCGCCAGTCTGTTTACAACTACAGTAGGTCCCCAATTGCTTCTGACTTAGAAGCACTTGCGGTGGACGATGCCTGGTCCGGATTCGTCGTACTCCTCCTTGGTGATCCACATGGACTGGAAGGTGGAGAGAGAGGCCAGGATGGAGCCACCGATCCAGACGGAGTACTTACGCTCGGGAGGAGCAATGATCTTGATCTTGATGGTGGAGGGAGCCAGGGCAGTAATTTCCTTCTGCATGCGGTCAGCAATACCAGGGTACATGGTGGTACCACCAGACAAAACAGTGTTGGCGTACAGGTCCTTCCTGATATCAACATCACACTTCATGATGGAATTATAGACAGTCTCATGGATACCAGCAGATTCCATACCAAGGAAGGAAGGCTGGAACAGAGCCTCAGGGCAACGGAAACGTTCGTTGCCGATGGTAATAACCTGACCGTCAGGAAGTTCGTAGGACTTTTCGAGAGATGAAGAAGCAGCAGCCTGTAGCCATCTCTTTCTCGAAATCGAGGGCAACATAGCAAAGTTTCTCTTTGATATCGCGAACAATTTCTCGCTCAGCCGTGGTGGTGAAGGAATAGCCACGCTCTGTCATGATCTTCATCAGGTAGTCAGTCAAGTCACGGCCAGCCAAGTCGAGACGCAGGATAGCGTGAGGAAGAGCATAACCCTCGTAGATGGGGACAGTGTGAGTAACACCATCACCAGAGTCCAGCACGATACCTGTGGTACGACCAGAGGCGTACAGGGACAGCACGGCCTGGATGGCCACGTACATGGCAGGAGTGTTGAAGGTCTCGAACATGATCTGTGTCATCTTCTCACGGTTGGCCTTGGGGTTGAGGGGAGCCTCCGTCAGGAGGACTGGGGACTCCTCAGGGGCAACACGCAGCTCGTTGTAGAAGGTGTGATGCCAGATCTTCTCCATGTCGTCCCAGTTGGTGATGATGCCGTGCTCGATGGGGTACTTGAGAGTCAGGATACCTCTCTTGCTCTGGGCCTCATCACCGACGTAGGCGTCCTTCTGACCCATACCGACCATCACACCCTGGAAGGAAGAGGGGAAGACAGCTCTGGGGGCGTCGTCCCCAGCAAAACCTGCCTTGCACATGCCAGAGCCATTGTCCACAACCAGCGCGGCTACTTCGTCGTCACACATGGTGGTGTTCGTTCTGCAAGAATGTTACAGCTGTTAAACATGATGGACGTTACCGATCAATCCTGGTATATAAATTATATATTCTGAAAGTACATTGGTGATCCCCAATTTAAAGGTTCAGTACAATTTCTGGACAGATCTTTATTGGCTACTAGCTGGCTTTGTGCAACGTTCATATGTATTTTTTCATACTCAAAATGCTTATTATTAAAGGCCTCTCATTAAAGTTTGTATTATTAATAATAATTGTGTAGTAAAGCTGTAACTTTAAGCAATCAACATCGAAATGTTTACACAAAAGAATATCACTAAATCGTGGCATTAGTGAGCTGTGTGTTTCTCTTGGGCAAGAATTTCTTTAGGTGTGAATGAAAGTCAATTGAACTACTTCTGCAAACAAAAGGCATCTCACTATTCCAGCAAAGGCAACTTAACTACAGGTGAACTGTCTCGAGCGTCCATAAACTCATGGAAACCTCCCCGTCTCATTCTCTGTTTTTTGTCTGTCTGTCTATCTGTCCGAGATTGGCGTGCAGACGCTTACAGTTAGCCTATCCCAATGTTTCAAGATGAACCATGGAGTATCAAGATGAACCATGAGGGTAACAAGATGAACCATGGGGGTATCAAGATGAACCATGGGGTATTTTCTTCATGGTAGATGCAGTTTGCACGAAGTGTTCATCCTCGCGATGACTGCACAGTTGGGGATGTTGGGAGACGTGTCACAATGGCACGTCAGTAGTTTATACGACAATCCTTGAACATTGCTGTTGTCATTTTCGGGTAATACAGGAGCAACAGGTAAAAATAGACGTGTTTTGGAGTGAATATGCACTTGAGAGCGAGGGCTGCATGATAGGCTTACGGCGTCAGCTGACCGTTATTGCTTTTGTTGTTAGGAACGCCATGGAGGGTAGAAATAGCCTAAGCTACTTTATCATTTTTGTATATCTTATTGTCTCAATAAACATACTTGAACTTATTATGAACGCATTTTCTATATTTGAGTGTTCGGTGGGTTAGAGGTATATGAAATAGATCAAATGTGGCCTAATTTTTGAATTGACTGGAGATATTTAATGACTATATGATATTTTTTATGTGTCGTAGGAGATCTCTGGCTCTGCTAACAACTCTTAACCAAAACTGATATAACAAGAGTTCATGTCTTACCGTTAGTGAGAGGTGAAGGTGGTGAGTACTCGAGTGCTCGGCTGCCAGGGAGTGAATGCGCTCCAGTACCCGGCTGCATAGTTCTTATACCTTATCTCTGACGCAAGCCGTGCCGCTGATGTTACCATATTTGGTCGCGCCTTCTTATCTCTCCTAATGTGATTGGATATTGAAATCAGGAACCAATTTGGTAAATGGAACAGCATGTTTGGTGAGTCAGATTAGTAGACATATTTTTATGAATGCGTATGCATGTACGCACATACATACATACATACATACCTCCTACCATACATACGGGAGGTTGATTGACAATTGAGAGGCCGGACCAAAGAGCCAGAGTTCAACCCCCACAAGCACAACTAGGTAAGTATACACACACACACCAGCACGCCTACACCCACACTGCACTCTCTCCCCACTCACACACACACACACACACACACACACACACACACACACACACACACACACACACACACACACACACACACACACACACACACACTCACTCACTCACACCCACACTCCCATACCCCTTTCCCCCCAAAAAAATAATATAACCTAATACAATAAATACATTCTGAAGTAGATATGGCAAGAGACTGAAGGAACGGAACCACTGCATTAGACCACCACTACCATGGTGGAGACGGTGAGGAACACCTCCACCACTACCATGGTGGAGACGGTGAGGAACACCTCCACCACTACCATGGTGGAGACGGTGAAGAACACCTCCACCACTACCATGGTGGAGACGGTGAAGAACTCCTCCACCACTACCATGGTGGAGATGGTGAGGAACACCTCCACCACTACCATGGTGGAGACGGTGAAGAACTCCTCCGCCACTACCATGGT